GTTATCACCAAGCTGCAAGAACATCAGTGCTGAAAGGTACAAACGACCAGCCATGTTGAGTTGGAGACCTGGATCTGAATTTATTGGTTAAAGGGTTGGATAGTAGGTCTCCTTTGGTATCGTCGGTGGTACAAAATGCATCGACAAGAATGTTGTATGCATCAAAAGATCTATGAACCTGGTTGAGATCGATTGTTCGCTGTCTTTACATGTAAGCAAGAATAACAATGTTTTTTAAATTTAATTTTACGTTCTTTCTTTATGATCTTGATTTTTTTTGTTGAAGTGAATGACAGTTGCTTAAAGTTACATTAAAACTGTGTTTGGAGGTCAAGATTTAACCAAGACGACACCATGTGAGAATGAGATGGAGAAGAAAGATGCAACAGGGTACTATGTTTTATGCAAGACCATATGTTGAGTTTGTCACACCTCTTCTCCTTCTCTCAGTCTCTTTCAAACCAGATGAAGGTAAATCTCCACCTGAAGCTGCCATTTCTTGAAAGTTGTCTATAAATCCGAAAAATGGTGGTGTTTTCAAGTGATCTGAAGTAAAAGAAATAAGAAATACTTTAATTTGCCTATGTTTAAGTTAATTTGGCTAATATATACAATATTTAATTTTGAATAACGAGTTAAAGTGTTATTTTGCAGTTGTTAGAGATATTGTTTTAAGGAAAGGCCTTCAAGTAAAGACACTGTTTTACATCTTAACACAACATGTCAAGTCTTTCGGTTTCCTCTTGAACCCATTGATTTGTAATGTTATGTTGAAGTTGAGTCTCATTTTGACATTTTGTTTGTAGGGATTGTTTTTAGCATGTTGTTTGACTGGATTTGGGGTGATTTTAAGGGAAAAGTTGGAAGGAAGAAGAAGCACAATGGTGAAGATAAACAAATGGACTGTACGTCTAATTAGAGGGATCATTTTTTGATGTAGGTTTTTTAATATAACTTACGGTTTCTGATGAATCAGGTTATACAATGGCCATAATGCTCAATTTTATCCGCTTTTTCTTGTTTTTCCATGGAAATAGAGTTGCGGATTTTGTAGAATCTCATTTTTCTGTTACTTTTTGTAGGCTGTGATGGTTACATATTCAACATTATCAATTTTGTTGGGAACTATCTATTTTGAAGATGTTCTTGGTTTGAACGATTTCACAATTTTAAATATTTTTATTTGATTTGTAGGCATATGTTTTATTTTTATCATCTGGTTCATGGTGTTTTCAAATGGTGGTTGGAACATTTGGGTTTGATTTGCGTGCAATCATTAATGTAAATATGAAGTTTTATAATCCAAAGACTTCAAATATTTTGATGCAATCATTAGTGTAAATACCATTTGTCTGCAATCATTCGTGTAAATACCATGTGTTCATTATATTTTTAATCGAAACTACTTTGCTTGTATTTGGGCTATGATGTTTATTATGTTTTAGAAATAGTACTTTTGAGAACAAAAATAAAAATAAGATGGATGTGAAATTATGGGATTTGAAATCGTAAAAATCATAAGAGTCTTAATATTTTTATACAAATTTAGCATTAGAAGATGATTATTTGCGTGTGTAAAAATAAAAAAGTAATGACATTTTAAGTATGACCAAAATTTCTTAGTTATAACAAATTTGTCAATAATTTTTAAATTTTAAATTTTGTTTGGCTATAACTAGGCATTTCACAATATAATGTGTTATAAAAATAACTACTTTTAGATATATTTAGGTCCTTGAATTAATCCTTTTTGAAAATCAAGGGTTTATATTGAAACTACTATATAAATTGAAAGCCAAAGATGATTAATTGTTAAAAGTCATTAGGGAGGAATAGACTTTAATTGTCCAAAATCATAATTGAGTTTCACACACAAATTGAGTAGGAATAAAGGAAAATGGATCAAATGGCTCCTCCTCCTTTTCGTATTTTGAAGTTGAACATGGATGATTCTTCAAGGAATGGCATGACAGCATGTGGTGACATTATTAGGGACTATAAGGGCTCCACTTTGGTTGCTTTTTCTACCTTTTATGTCCCAGGTGCCAACATTTGCAGAAGCCAAAGCTCCCCTTTTTGGTCTGATGCTTTGTTATAGATTAGGCTACTCCAAAGTAGCAGTGGAGAGTGAGGAAAAAAAATTATTTTTGATAGCATCTGTGGAGGTGTAGTCCCTTGGACAGTCCCTTATATGATCAGATCTTTAAAAACTTTCTTACTTACTTCCATGTCCATCTCTCATATCTACAGGGAAGGGAATCAAAGTGAAAACACTTTAGCTACCCATGCCCACTTCCATCAGGAACATTTTGAATTTCTTTCTTTTCTAATGGCTCTCTTCCTACCGCCTCTCTTGCCTTAAGAGATCAGTCCATCACGTGTCTTTCTTCCAGTTCCTTGACTCCCAAACCTTGGGTCATTGATTCTACCCCCGCTTAGGTTAGCTGTGTTTCCTTAAATATCGGGTTGCCAAGGGTTGTTTCCAGAGGAAATGAGATTATAACCCATGATTTAGCAGTTGGTTGAGCAGTCGTGGCGTACAAACACAAACAACAAGCAAAGTCGTGGCTCGCTCTCATTGGGAGGCTGTTCAACCAGATTGGCGAAGTTGAGTATTGACACAAACAATAAGAGGACGAGCTTCCCTTCTACTACCGAAAAGAGGAGTTTACCACCGCCAATCAACAAATCATCGTCATTCGTCGTTAATACATCTACGTACCTATCTATAAACTTTTCGTCGAAAAGATCTATCCGATACAAAACAATCCACCAAAAGGTTAAGGTTGAAACGAACTATCTGATACGAAAAAGGAAACAAATAGCCAGATGAAAACTATCTACCGAAAGGAAATATCTCGCGCCGCTGCATCACGCGGGTACCCTACTAGTATATATATATATATATATATATATATATATATATATATATATATATATATATAGAGAGAGAGAGAGAGAGAGAGAGAGAGGAGGGTTCAATTGAGAAAAAAAAAGGTTGAGAATGGGGGAATCATTCTCAACCACTCATTTATTTTTGGCGCAAAAGCCTCCGTCGTACCAGCGGAAATGGGAAAGGAATAGACATGTGTTTTCCAACAAAACATGTTTCCTTAAACTATGTTAAGCATTACCTTAATATATACAAAAACATAGTTTTTTCGTTTTTTTTAATTTTTAAGAAGCTATTTTTATCGAAAAATGATTTTAAATATACCAAAATTCATGATTTTTTATTATCTACAAATAGACATCCATATTGATATAGTTTTAAGATAAAATAAAAAATTTATTTTTTTTATATTTTCAGCTATCGTTATTCATAAGTGAATAAAAATGAATCAGGCTTTTACTACAGTATATTCGTTATTCACTTATGAATAAAAACTATGATTAATTTTTTTACAATTTAAGTATCATTCATATATGAATATAGCATATAATAAACATAGTATATTTATATTTAAATATTAGACGATGCATTCACTTGTGAATATTACATAGTTTATTCACTTGTGAATATTAGATGATATATTCACTTATGAATATTAGATAATATTTTCATATCTGAATATTACGTAGTATTACATGGTATATCATATGTGAATATTATATAGTATATTCACTTGTGAATATTAGATGATATATTCACTTATGAATATTACACAGTATATTCACATATGAATATTACAAGGTATTTTCACAAATATATATAATTTTTATATGTTATTCACATATGAATAACATACAGACTTGCATATTTGTTTTTTTGTTTTAATATCATATATTGATTCAGGTGAGAAAACATATTCATATATGAATATAACGTGGTAATTTAGTTTATACATTTCATCAAACAGTTGGAGTGCATATAATTTAACTTTTTTTAAAAATGTTAAAAACATGATACTTTGACTATTTAAATCTTACAAAATAGTAGATTGATAGAGAATTATATGAAATTTTTCAAAAAAAAACGATTTGATCTTTTTCTAACCTCAATTTTGAAGTTTTATTTGATAATCGATGTTGAATGAATGATATGAAGTGGATTTTTTGTTGATTATCGATGATGTTGATCTAATGACGTTGGGAGTATAATTAATCGTAGATGTTGAAGATCTGATCGTATTCAAGCAGAATTGAATGTTGGATTAAAAGAACCAAAAATGAATTTTTGTTGTTAACTGTTGAATCGTGTTGATAAACATGTTATTGACGAAGATCGATGATTGATTAGCACTGGATGGTGTTGATGATGGTTTAATTGAAGAAATCTGGATGATTGTTGAAGGTTGGAGGAGAAATTTGGATGATGAACGATCAATTACAGTTGCGTATTTGAGATTGAAGGTTATTATCATATTTATAAGTTTGTCACCGTGTCTTTTTATGCTTAGATTAAATGAGTGACTGAGAATGATTCCCCCATTCTCAACCTTTTTTATTTTCTCAATTGAACTATATATATATATATATATATATATATATAATATATATATATATATATATAAAAGTAAATTTTTCTAGTTTTGAATTTTTACATCATATATAAAAAAGTAAAATTTTCGTAGATCTTTTTTTGCAGATTAAAACTACAACGTAAAACAATTTTTTTTGTTTAGCTGTTAGAAAAAGAAAAAAGAAAAAAAACTTTTTTGTTGTCGAAATGGCCTTTAAAAATTTAACCACAAAAAATAAATAAATAAATAAAAATAGAAAACTAATTTATTTCATTTTGGCAGATAGCATCTACAAGATTCTTTTTTCTTTGAAATAACATCGTTTTGTGATTTCGCTAATTGGCATTTCGCAGATCATCTGCCAAAATGATGGATATTTTGATGATTATGCCACTATTTTTTACAAAATATTAAATATTTCCCTTTTTCTCAAAATTTTGTGGTTTTGATTTTTGATAAAATACCTTAAGTAGACTGTATATGAAATTAAATAACAATAGAATTTATATCAACAGTGATATTATTATAAACATAAAAGAATGCAACCATCTGAGATTTATAAAGAATATGAACACCAAATCGCAGCAACATATCTTCTAACAAACACAAACACAATCAACACCTAAAACAACTCCTCCGAGGTTTACAATCATACAAGCACCATGTACAACTTCTGTTTTAAAATAACCAAAGCAGAGAGCTACCTACAGGGTTGAGAAAAACCACATACATTTTCCACAACCCCGGAATCGGAATCCCGAAATCGGAATCGGAATCAAAGAAGCTGCCATTCATCTTGCGCAGAGCCCTCGGCATCATCAACTCCATCAAAGGAATCAACCTCCTCACCCCTGCTTGTGCCACCTGGCTTTGCCAGGTGGCGCGTCTGAGTCACTGTGAATAGCGGTGCCCCATTCGATTCCGCTGCTAATTCCGATGCCCGCGAACAAAAATCTTCAAAATCATCTGCACACACAAAAAAAAATTCAAAAATTGAATTCAGGAATCGTTGATTCCATTCCTTCTCTACCTTTGTCTCGGCAATAAAATCCAATAGCCAGTGATGGATCGATGGATTCAAGTGGAATTTGGCGTACAACACTGGAATCAACAATTTTATTTATAGTCACATGCCACATTATGAAAAAGGATAAAAAGTTATAATAAATTAATATTTAATATCATATAATAAAAATACATACTTGCAATGATACGAAGAAGTATCAGCCTCCAAATTATCCTTGCTTATATTAACAGCCTAAAGGTATATAAGAGAAAAATACAAAATTCAAGAAATTATGTTTGAGATTATTAAAATAATATAAAATTAACCTGTTGAACTTCATGGGGATCAAGATAAAAAGCTTTATCATCCTGAACACCAATGATATAAGTTGAAGCACCAGGTCTCCCACCCAATATCCCAAGGCTTTGTGGAAATGTAAATGTAGCTGCTAACAATGGTAGATATCTGGTTTACATAATTACATAACAAGTCAAATACAATAATAATAAAAAAATATAAAATTATTGAAATTTAAGGAAACATTACATATTTACATACCTAGGATTTACTTTATCAAGACCAAGAACCAAAGGAACAAGCAAAAGCAAAGGTGAAAATTCAACTTGGTTTCTTGAAAACTGAGAACATTGGTTTAAAGCATCTTCAATGCAAAGAACAGGGGCCCCACCACGTTCCCCATCTTCATCACCAGAAACAACATAAATAGCCATTGGAAAGGAGTTATCTTGAAGGTTATTTTCGTCAATTTTTTTACGTGCGAGTGTTTCCCATGTGCGACTCATTGCGTATGGGCCCACCCATGATCCTGGAGCAAGGGCATAACCCTCTCCAGATTGAAGAAGATTGTGAATGGAGAAAGGTGAGTCCTCTGAATCACCAAAATTGTGTAGTATTGAAATGTAATCTTCTTCATATGGCTGCATTTGCATTATTAGCAAAAAGAGTAAGGGTAGAAATGGTATTCCACTGGTTTTACTTTTTATAAATGATTAGATATATATATACATATATACATATATTTATATGTATCACACCTGCTGTGAAGGTTTTCTCCAAGATCTTCCTAGTTGATGTACTATCAAAGCCTAACAAAGAAATATACAAAAATCAAGTATCAAATTTGCTCAAAATTGAGTGGAAATGAAAATAAATAAAAACCTGAGCAACAAGCATTTGACTGCTTCGAAGCATACAACCCCAATTTACATCACTTGTGTACTTTGAATCACCAATAGCAACAAAACCTAGATGAAAGAAAAGCTATTATATTTTATATATGTAATCATGTAGAAAGTTTAATAACCATAAAGTGAAAAAAGAAACCTTTTCGGTATGTCATCAAGATTCTTGAAGAAAAATCTTGAGAAAAAGCAGCATATCCAGTGGTATGAACAGGTTCTTGAGAAGGGTCTTGTAGACAAATTTTGTAGCAAACTCCAAGAAGCCAAATATCACTTATTGAGTTAGAAACATTGGTTTTGTAACCCAAAACACGTTCTTGAATTCGCCTCATTGAGCCACCATTCATGACTCTCTTCACAGCTGCAGTCCAACCATGGCTTCTAGTGTTGTTGGTGGTGGTGGAGTCCTTCTTTTGGGTGTCAAAAACTGAAAAGGCAGATCCCAAGAATCCTGACCACAATGATGATGATTTTGGGGATTTGTGAGTGCTTGATCCTGCTTCAGAATAGTTGGAAGAAGAAGAAGAATCACAAATTCTATGATCTGGAGAATCAGTTGAACTTGTATAAGAATTTTTGAAGAATCAGTCCTCTCATGTATATTCTTCATTACCTAACCATGAGCTGCACCACAATGATCAAACCAGCTCCTAGGAGCAAGAATATCTTGAATTTTATGAGTGATTTGCAAGTGTATTGATGAAATAGGTTTATGGAATTGAAAAATGAAGAATAAATGGAAACATGTGGAAGTAAATAAGTATTAAATTTACCATAAAAAACTTTGAATTCAGTTCACATTTCGATAAAAAAGTTTGTAAATTTATAAAACAGGCATCATTTCGATAAAAAAGTTTCTAAATTTCTTATACTTATAAGTCTCTAAAACCTAGCATTCCTTCAAAGGACGATATATTAATGCAGGAATCATTAATAACATCTGAATCATTAATAACAATAACAGCCAAAAGGCACAAAATAGACAAACTGTATTCTATGAGAAGAGATGAGCATTTATAATGCACAAAAATAGTGCAAGGAAGGACCGATCAAGTATGAATCAACATAATTACACCCAATTCTAGCTATCGTTCATTAACTTTCTACAAGAAAAACAGAATTAACTAGCAAACACATAGGCAAATAATCAGAAGCAAAAGCACGGAAACGATTATACAAGTTGAACAGAATCGAATTTCATCAATAAAACTATAGAAAAACACCAGAAAAATCAAGAACTTACTGTTTGTACCGAGCTTCAAATTATAACAATCAGAAAGCAACCTATGAAACTAGCTCGTAACAAATCGGACCAATCAATTAGCGCTACAATGAATTCTCTATAATAATTCGAGAGAAAACTTAATTGCGAGAGAAGAGAGAGGTTTCTCCGAAAATTTGGAACCCTAATTATACGTATCTCACCATTGTTGTATCTACAATCAATCAAACAATTGAAGAAAGGTTTAAACGCTTACGCTAAATTTGACAACAATGGCCACCTGCACGTGAAACGCGTGAAAGCGACGTGCTTGAGTTTTAACGCCTACGCTACTTGGTACGTGTACACAACAATGTTAGGAATTTTTATACAAATAATTTTTTTCCATAGATTCTTCAAAATCTCGATTTCAGACGAATTTCAGGTTTCGATTTCTATTTCGAGTTCAATAACTAGATTCTGTTAAAATCAATTTCAAAAACTTGATTCTGTGAAAATCGATTTCAAAATTGGAGGAACAAAACTCACCGACAGGGAATGGCCGGAGGAAGGCGGCGATCGGTGGTTGCTGTCGCCGATGGTGAGGGTCGGCTCTGAATCTGTGCGTCGATTGGAAGGGAGATGATTGCAGAGGCGTGACTGAAGGAGGAGCGTAGCAGAGGGCAACAGATGGCGAGCGATGTCTTTTCAGATATGTCGATTTCAGAGGAGCCGCCGACCATCAATTGAAGGATTAGAGGGCCGGTGGTGGTGGAAGGAGAAGCAGGTGTGATTCGCTCAGATGAAGTGGTGGAGTCGATTGAAGGAGAAGGAGAAGCGTAAGGACCTAATGGTCAAGCGTGTGTGTTTTACATTCAGATTCCTCCCAAGTCTTATTCGGTTAAGATGTTTATTTCAGATTCAAGTAAGAAGTAAACAAACGCTAGTGACTTCTTATTAAGAGTCAATAAAAAAACAAACATATAGGACCTTAGTTTTGTTGGATATTCGCTGTCATTTAGGGCGAAGGTTTGAACCGAATACTCGAACTGGAACCGGCCAAATAAGTTATACGGTTCGGTTCGCAGGTATGTATTTTAGGCTTATTTGGTCCTCGGGTATTTCGGTTCGGGTTACCCGAATAACTGTTTAACCGGTTCTAAAGGCTCCGGACCCGAATAAGCTATCCATTTCTTTTCTTTTTTTCAGCATGTTTGCAAAATTTTATATTAACTTTGAACTTTTATAGCGACTTTGTTATTTGCTTAATTTTTTTTAGCTTGTAGCTCACAATTTAACACACTTTACATAGTTTATATGTTATTTTTTTTGTTATATATTCAATGAGACACAGTCCCCTAAACATGAGGTATTGAAGCTGAGTTTTTTGTTTCTTCATGTTTGCAGAATTTTAAAGCAACTTAGAACTATCACAACGTATTCGTTATTTATCCGATTTACCAATATTTTTTCCAGCTTGTATTTCTCAATTTAAACTATTGTTTACATAGTTTACATGCATTTTTTGGTTGTATATTCAATGAGATAAAGACTCCTAAACAAGGGATATTAAAGCTGCTTTTTTTAAACTATCATTTACTTTATTCGGTTTTATTCGGTTCTTTTCGGTCCCTAAGCATATTGTAAATGTTATTCGATTTACTCGGGTAATAACCGAACCAAACCGATTAATACTCGACCGGAACCGGCCTCGTATTAGTTTAATCAGTCTGGTTTTTGGTTCCTCCAATTAATCTTATTCGGTTTATTCTGGTTCTGACCCGAATAACATCCTTACTATCATCCCATATCACCCCATCCCCCCCCCCCCACACACACACACAATTAACCGATTGTGTGTTTAAATCACCTCTTAACCATTCGGTTAAGAGGTTAGGTTATGTATAAACCGTTAAGCAATAACATGTTTGGCTTGCAAGCACCTCTTAATCGGTCGGAGGCAAAAAGAAAATTACATTTTTGAATCATTCAATCTATTTCATATTGTAATACCCTGTTTCGAGTCGTTTCTTAATTCGGGGTTGTGGACCGAAATTCGATCATGAAAAGGCTTTGGGCTTTAAGAAAGTAAATTTGGACCTTATTGAAGGTTGATAATGTGGTAGTAGATCTAATCCCTTGATTGTGTGTTGGAACCGAATAGTAGAAAGGGAAAAGTTATAGATCAGGCTTCTTGCGTGGATTATGGTTTTAGTTCGGTATGTGATAAGCCAACAGTAACTTCATAGGATTGTGGGGCTCTTCAATACCTTTCTGTTCATATAAAGAACACTGAAAGCGGAGTAGTTGCAACGAATAAGTTATGGTTGTTTGAAGTTGAAGGGGAAAATGGGGACTCTTGATTACACATGGTGTAATTTAAAGTTATGCAGGGCGTAAAGAGGTTTATTGAATTACGCAGGGCGTAGTATGGGCCGATCAAAACCCTAAATCTTTGATTTTGATCCCTATTTAAGGGCTCTAACTAATGGGAAATCCTCTCATTACCAGCCTCCATCACCTAAGATCATTCCTTGAGAAAAATCCTAGCCTCCTCTCACTTGTTTTTGATACTTTATGAGCTTATTTCTCCATTAGAATGTTGAATCTTGAAGAGCAAGGTAGTGACAAAGTGTATAGAAAGAAGAGTTCAAGTATAGATCCAATAAGATTACATCATTCCTAGACCATTGTGAGTAAAAAGCTTCTAAATTGCTCATTGGTTTCATAGATCTAGTCATTTGTCATATTGCCACTTTTTGGTCATTTTAGTGCATAAAGTTTAGATCTTGAAAGTTTGTGACCTTGTTATGGATAAAGTTGGAAACTTTATCCATCTAAACATCATATTGATTCAGATTTAAAGGTTGAAGACTTGGACTTAATGGATTAAGTTTAGAAAGACGCATTTTTGGGTCCCTTTGAGACATAAAGTCTAGATCTTGGTGATTTGGAACTTCCTAATGGATAAAATTAGAAACTTTATCCATTAAGACCTTGGGAAGGATCAGATATGAGCTTTGGAGCTCTTGAAATCGGAAGAAAATGGATTAAGCTCGTTTGAGTTGTTCAGACCAGTCCTTACAGCGTGGCACTAGGCTGTCACGGCGTGGCGACTTGGGAATCAGTGACTGTTTTGGCATTTTGTGCCCACGACGTGGCCAAGGAAGGCCATGACGTGGAGGGATGTTGTTGGCAATTTGACCTTAGCTTTGATCGTTGACTTTTTGACCAGTTTCACTTTTGATCAAACTTGGGTAGAATTGAGTATTTGACTAAGGATTGGTTTCGGTTTAGCCTTAGGAAGCTTATGTTGGTTGTTATATTGTTGAGGTAGCTGTTGGGATTCTGTTGAATAGTTCAAGTGAGTTTTCTCACTAAACTCGTGGTTCGAAGGCACCAATGCCGGCCCACTGGATTATGTTATGTAAGAAGACCAGGCGGTGACCGTGGTAATTGTATAAAAAACCTTGATATGGTTCCCGGAAAATTACGTGCAAGACCAGGGTCTGGACCCTGCCAGTTATATGTAGGATGCTAGTTGTCTTTCTGATACTTTCATGGAAGACCAGGAGGTGGCTCTTCGCACTTGTTTGTAAGACCCGGGTCTTGGGTGTAACATCCTGATGTCAAGGTAATTTCAATTCCAACCCTATGTTTGAATAATGTTGTATTTTATTCATTGGATTCGAAATGATTGCAAATTGTCCCTTAGTGGAAATATGGTAATTTTGTCTAGGAGTAGTATGTTGAGCGTATGTTGTGTACGCTAGACGTACCATGGCGTGCCCTAGTACGCTGGGCATACTGTTGGGTTTTGGTATAATACAACATCCTATGGTGCACATACAACCCTAAATACCTTGGATCTATGTTTTCACTAATTATACATGCAAATGGTTTCCAAGGTATTGAACCTATAGCTAGCATGCAATTGTCATACAAACTACATAAAATGCTAGATATTGTAACATACCTTTTTGTGTGGCTGGAGGTCTTGATGTATTTGGCCTTAAGAACTTAGCCCCAATAGTGTGGAAGCCTCAAATGAAGTCACAACACATCAAGGACAAAGGTAGGACTTGAGAGAGAATCTCCATGCACTCTAAAACCTTCATGAACTCCAAGAACATGCACACACTCTAGGGTGTGACTAGGGGTCACGGTTTTAGGTCATAACATATGTGTTGAATTCTAAGAGTCATGGGTATAACCCAAACCCATATCCATGGATCTTATGATCCATGGTTCATGTGGCCCAACTCTTTATGTATCCATACATAAACTTGGTCCAACATGGATCATAAGCCCAACACATATAAATATAACTAATTACCATAATTAGTCCCCGTAGTTTTAATTAGTCTCTTTTGATCACTAAATAATTCCAAATTAATTCTTGATCAATACTAATTAAAACATATGATTTCATATAATATATTATAACTATAAATATTAATAAACCATAAATAACCTTCTCTCAAAAGTCCATCCTAACAAATTGTCCTGATGATATGCAACCCAAAATGGACCATGCTACTCTCGGGTCGAATACATACCAATAATAGTTATGGGCTTAGACACCTAATCCAACACATACACCTCGTACGCGGGGGATACGTGAAGAAAGTGCAAACCCTACTTTTTAGGGTTTGGTCCATATTTAAACACCATTATAGCCTCACTTCTCATTTCTTCATCAGCCTCCCTCTGTGAAAAAATAACCCCAAGCAAGCCCTAAGTGAGAAGTGTGGATTTTGAGCCCGTTTGAGTGTTTTGGTGGTGTTCTTGAAGAATAAGAAGGTGGTGAGAAGAGCTTGGAGCTTGGAAGCATTTTGGATCTGAGATTATCTTCTTGTTAGCAACCTCTAGGAGGTATAAAAGTGATGGGTTTTGCGCATTATAACACTCCTAAGTGTACATGCAACCCTAAATACCTTGGATCTATGTTTTCTCTATTATACATGCAATTATGAACTTTCCAAGGTATTACCCTATCTAGCATACAATACTTGATACTTGGGTAATCAAATGGATAGAATACATACCTTTGTTTGATGTAGCTTGTCTCCATGAAGCTTGAGTGCCTATTGCCCCAAGTGTGACACCTCAAATGGTTCACACAACACCAAATGCACATGGAATGACTTGAGAGAAATGGAACACTCCTTGAAATCGTCTAGCCCTCATATTCACACATTAGTGCACGATTTCTTGAGCCATGGGATTCTTTTATATGGTGGTTATTAGGGTTACACCATGTAACTCATAACTTTACCCATTCCTTATGCTCCATGGATTTTAACCTCCATGGAGTATCCATGGGTCACCCCATGGACTTAGTCCAACATAAGGAATCTTGGATCATAAGCCCACATATATAAGAATGAATGATTTACACAATCAACCCATATATTTAATTAGTCTCCTTTTGATCACTTAATTAATTCCAAATTAATTCTTGATCAATACTATTAAATAACCTTATTAATATATTAGAACTTATAATATATTAACCAACCTTAAGTGTTATTTCTCTCATTATAGTCTATCCAAATGCATGATGCCATGCAACCCAAATGGACCATGCCGGGTCGGGTCAAGTCTTACCAATAATAGTTATGGACTTAGACATTAATCCAACAGTCTCCCACTTGGATAAGTCTAAAACTATTATTGCGTATGACTTCAGGAACCGATCAGCAATCGTAGCTCTCAAAAGCTTCTGTCGAACTCTGACCTTGTCGATGAACTCTGACCTTTGTCAATGACTTGTCCATTAGATAAGGGATCATATATTCCTCCATTCTAGATATCATATGGACTGAGACATGGATTATCAATCATTCTCTCTGTCCATTTGTTGTTTCCCGATTTCCGATTCATGATGACTGACTGATTGAACAAATCAAATCAGTCCTGGCTTGGCCAAGCACTCACATGTATCATCTTTAAATCATCGAGGGGCCCACAGATATCGCTTTTATCCCGAAGGTAAAAGGAATGGATAAACTTCGACTCATATGGCTTGTTCTACTACTTGTTGAATCATACACAAAGGCACGTTTTATAACCTCGAGTTACCGAATGCATTTTCGTGCAATCAATGTACAACCAACTCATAGTAACAACTCATATCTCTAGGTTTGAAGAATATAAGATATTATCGTCTCATGATCACTCGTGATAAAATCCATGAAG